TCCTTTCCAGCCAGTGTGCTCACACTGTCATCTGTCCTGCAGGCCAGAGTCAAAGCAGTGTCATTCAGAGGTCACGCCCAACTTCTCACAGCCCGAGTCCTGCTCTGCAGTGGCTGAAGTTGGCATTTTGCTGATTTTTATCCGGTTCCTCTGCAGCCCCACAGACCCAGGGAGCTGATACCACGACTGCTACATTGGCCCCTAAACATCTGAAACTTCCTGGGGGCTTGTCCAGGACCCACTGCACAGGTGCCTGGCTACAGCTTCTCTCCTTCCTCTCTTAACCAGACAGACCCAATTGGTCCAGTGCAGCTACAAGTTCAGTCCCAGCTGTGCTCCTTACCAGCTGTGTGTCACTGATGGAGTTAATTTTATCAGCTGGTTACTGCTGTATAACAAGTTGCCTCCAAACTTAGTGGCTTTAAGCTGCAACTACAAGCAATTCCCCGTGAGTTTAAGGGTTGGTGGGACAGCAAGTTCTGCTGTGAGCTGGCCGTGGCTAATCGAGGCTGCGTTCCCTGGTGTCCCTGTGGTTAGCTGTGGGCTGGCTGACAGAGGAGGGCCTTGGTGGCTGCAGCTGAGCCTCTCTCCACCTTGAGGTCCAGACTTGGAGATGGGGCACTTCTGCCACTTTCTATGCCAAAGCAAGCCTTGAGACCAGTCCAGATCCAAGGTGTAGGGAAAAGGACCTTGTTACAGATGGCTGCAAATTCACATAGCAGTGGCCATTACTGTGGTCATCCTCAGTATGGAGGGATGTGACCCCAGGCTCCCTTTGTGGATGCCCAAATCTGTTGATGCTCAATCCCTTACAACAAATGGCATGGTCTTTGCCTAAAACATGCGCGCACCCTCCTGTGTACTTTAAATCATCTCTGGATGACTTATAATGCCTAACACAGTGTCAATCCTATGTAATAGTATTGTACCATTTAAGGAATAATGACAAGGGGAGAAACCCCTGTTCATTTTCAGTACAGATGTGATATTTTCCCCCCAATACGGTTAATCTGCAGTTGGTTAAATCTGTGGATGTGGAACCCAGGGATACGGAGGGCAGCCCATATCAGGGTGGCCCTGTGGAGCCAACGGCGACCACATCATGCACCCTCCCTGAAATGTCGCTTGCTCCTTTGTTAGGTGGGAATAACATGATTGGCCTCGTGTGAGGCCCTAGTATTTCTGTGATATTTTAGGCGATGATTGGTCCAATGCAGCTACAAGAGAGGATGACCAAGTTCATTAAACTCACAGATCCTGGAGAGAGAAGTGCTGCACACTGTGAGGGGCCACTCAGGAGGATGCTCAACCCAGCAGGTGGGGAGCAGGGAGGAGCCAGGTCCCAGGAAGGTGCCTTCACTGGGGTCCAGGTGGGGCATGCAAGCAAAGGGCAGGAAGGATTTCACTGGTGCCCTCAAATGTGTCTGGGTCAAGGTCAGAGGAGGCAAGGAGGGGAACTTAAGGCAGGAGCCGACTTCTTCCCACTGCCCCTGGTGCCTGTGTGGGCTTGACGTGGGAATGTGGAGTCAGCAAAGAAATACGTTTTAAAATTTACCCTCTACGTAGTCAAACTTGGGCGCCCTGATGCTGTTTTGAAAGCTCACCTATAAAACTTAAAAGGCAGAGGAGAAAGCCAATCCTTCAGGCTGGGAATCTGTGAATGGGGACCTTGAGTCAGAAAACATGTAAAGAGAGTGGCACGTGGGACAAGGTCCACTGCCCAGCCGAGGAATGGCTCTGCAGCAGCCCTGGCTCAGAAGGGCTAAGTGCTCTGGTCAACGCCCATTCATTCTTTCATTTGCTCACTTGATCCTTCATGTGTTTAGGAAATCCATCCCCAAATATTTCTCAAGAGGCTGTTGTGTGCGACATTGCTTAAGAGAAAGGGGTGAACAAGGTGCTGGATGTAACAGGAAATGAAAACATTTCTGCCCGCTACAGGACTGGTTTGGGCTAGATGGTCAGGAGCACTTCCTCATGAGCCATGGTGAGAAGTGTGGCTCATACCTAAGGAAATGGGGATCCATGGAAGGCTTTAGAGAGGGCACCTTGGTCATTTTAAAGATCTCTTGTGCTTCTGTGTGGAGGACGATCGTGGAGGAAGGTGGTGGAAGGTGGAGGAGGGAGACTAGTTAGGAGATGTTCAGAGCACCCAGGCCATGGTGCCGTGTCCTGGGCCATCATGACGGCAGAGAAAGAAAGAACTGGGTATACTGGAGAGAGATTTGGGACACAGACTTAGTAGAGCGTGGTGCTTGGTGGGATGAGGGTTGGAGTCGGGGAGGCATGGTGTCTGACACTCAGTTTCCATCTTGGGCATGGGGTGGAGGGAGACAGTCTCCAGGGTGGGGACCCCGAGGGGCCGACAGCGAGGCTGGCTCCAGCTGCCGCTCCTGAGGGACCCAGGTGGAGGTGCAGGGGAGGAGTTGGGTCTCAGAAGGTAGGACTGAAGGTAGGTGAGAAAGTCAGAGAGCGCACCAGCACACCTCGAAGAAGAGTAGCTGACACAAATGTTCTGGAAGGATTCGCGCTCCAGACATTTTCTTCTTGACACACACTATCCTGCTCCCTTGTTATAAACACAGTAATAGTTTTCCTGTGTTCCTGGGATTAAAATTGAAAAAGAATCCATGGGTTTTGTGAAAGGCACTGCAAGCTGTGGTCCCAACCTCTCCAAATGACTCTGGTGTCCTGCTATGTTCACTTCCCAATCTGTCCTAAGCCACATCAGTCTTTCTTCAGCACATTATTACTCACCCCATTCCTCCTGCCACAGGACCCTTGCGCATGCCAATTCCTTTGCCTGGGACCATCCCTCCTCCTTCGTCTAGCTAACATCAGCCTATCTTCCCGGACCTCCTCTAACCAAGTCCCCTTTCCAGTCATTTGTTTCCAATAGGCCATTGGTGTCTCCTTCCTAGCATTCATCACATTGGTTTGCATTTATTTGTAATTATTTGATTAATTTGGTTTCCTCACTATTCTGAAAGGTCCCTGTGACAGAGAACATGGCTACGATTAACCCTGAGTTTCTCCCAGAGCTGACCACAGCACACAGAGTGTCAGGCCTGGGGCTGCAAATGCTGAGTGTGGGTTACGGGTTCCCTCCCCTGACAGCAAGACGTCCTCAGGAATGAGCCCCCCAGGGTGCACTAAGGGAAGAATCAGGAGGCTGGTGTCCTTGTCAGGATCAAAGGTCAAGATAGCATCCCTAGGAATGGAGGAAGGGGTTTTCCCAAGCAGGAACCAATCCCCCACTCCTGTCCATCATTCCTGGAGGAGGCAGATCCTGGGATAGAAAATGAGGATCACGGAGCTGGGCCTGAGCCTGCAGGAAGGACCCTCCCTCTATTCTGCCTCCTCACTCTCCCTTCCCACCATCCACTGGTGGGAGTGAGGGGCTCCCCCAATTCCCGGGCCCTTCTTGCTTGCTCAGCTCAGACTGCCCTCACTTAAACAGCCAGGATCAAGTCGGCCAGGCACGGCTTTTGATGAGCTAAATGCAAAAACTTGGGAGAGTATTTCTACTTTCAACTCTTTCTCTGGCTCTCTCTTCCTCAAGAGACTGAGGAAGTCAGCTCTGAGGTTCAGATGGTATAGATGCTGTTAGATCAGAACGTGTCTGCCCTTTCCTTCTCTTGAACAAAAGCTTCTTGGAACAGGCATCAAGTTTTAAAGGGGAGGTGGGGGCTGATAAGCTGAATTAGCTGTACATTTGCAAAATATGCAGCGAGTCCAGGGACCCACAAAACGGCTTAAAATATCTGTCTTCCTCTCTGACTTACCACTCCCTTGTCCCGTGTGTCCCCCAGAAGTGCACCATTATAGAGGCTTCTGCCATTATAGAGCTCATCAAGGGCCAAACTGTTCCTGTCCCCTGCCACTTTAGCAATGGTGCTAAAATCTAAAAGTGCCATTGAGTTCTGGGGGCTGGATGATGTCTCACACGGAAGAGCCCCAACATGTCCCCGCGGGGGGTACTTTTCACCCTGTACCTGGGTTGCTAAGTGATTGAGAGATGGAGTCATCTCTCTTCCCTTCCTGGTTTCTAACTTGGCTCTGCCATTTGCAATTGTCTTTGGGTAACATCCCCAACGCTCCAAGGCTGAGCTTCCTCACCAGTCAAGAGGTGATGGTGGCCTGGGGTTGTGGCTCAGTGGTGGAGTGTTCACCTAGCACGTGTGGGGCACAGGGTTCGATTCTCAGGGCCACATAAAAAAATAAACATGTAAAATTAAGGTATTGTGTCCCTGTACAACTAAAAAAAGAAAAAAAAAAAAAGAGGGAATGGTGACTGTGCAGTCACGTGGCACATGCAGTTGGCTCTCCTAGATTCCACCTTCAAATACACTATTGACTCCCAGCAAAAGAGACGGAGAGGCCATGGAATTCCATATGCATCCCTGGGAAGACTGCTGCAGGGGAGGGGAGCCAGGCTCTCAGGGTGAGCTCCTTACCTACTTAGTTTAATTTAGTCATTTATTCAATAAATATTTCCCGAGTCCCTACTGGGGTTGATTAAACAGACCAAAGTCACTGCCTAGATGGAGCTCCCATCCTAATGAGAGCTGATCTCCTGGCTGAAAACCACAGTTCGCGTTGATCGTGCCACCGGGTGCCACCTGCCGGCCAGCCTCTTCATTTGCTGCCTGGCTAAAGACGGGGCAAGGGGGAGGGAGCTCTCGGAGATGTCCATGGCTGAAGGATGGTCGGGACCCATTGCGACAACAGGTGATCTTTTGCAAGGCACCCTCCATGCCTGCCCTCCCCCTAGTGTAAAAGTTGAGGCCATCCCCGTGTGCACTGGCCTGTGATAATTCCAGGAAACGGTGTGCATGTTGAGCGGGCACACGACCATCTATCAGTGAGGGATGGATGGTACTACCTCTGGTGTTCACCCACAGCCCACGGCATTGCCAGGTCACCCCTGGAGCTTTATTGATGATCCCTCCCCAGCCAATCCCAGGGAACCATCCAAGTGCTTTTGCTCAGGGCTTCCATCAGCTGCAGTCCACGCCCGCGTCCTCGCTGTGGTTGCAGTTGTGAGAGCCCCAGTTGCTCTTATTGCAGTTCCACAGGGTCAATTCTGAGCCTGTGCAGGCGACATCGTCCAGCCAGATCTTCCCAGTTCCTTGAGACAGAGGAAGCAAGGTGGAGAGGAGAGAGGGATTATGGTCAAAGCAGAGCTTCGTCTGGGGTAGATGGCCACGTCCTCCACATCAGGTCAGGCCCAACGGGTTCAGAGCTAGTCTGATCTTTTGTACTGACTTTGATTCCTTTCTTTTCTCTATCTTCGATAGAACCCTCGCTCAGAGCTGTAATCCTTCATCCATTTGAAATCTCCCCCGAGGGTCCCCCAGCCTGCTACGGTCTCCACCTTTCCCAGAGCCTTTTAAACCACACCGTGTCAGAGGTCTGAAGCTTCCACAGCTCTGTCAAACCCTCTCACTTTTGATAAGATTGAAAACAGTTACATTCCTTGATTACAGTCATTTACACACCAACGGGACTTTATATAGGTTAATCTATATGAGGAAAATGTGTATTTTAAAGGCATTTTATAGCCAACTGGATCCAGATTAGAAAGCAAGTGTACACTTTGGGGTAGGGTAAAGGCAGAGGGCTTTTGGGGGAGGTGACCAGTCTAGTGTCTGTGCTTAGTCAGCTCCTAGGAGCAAAGAAAGGGGCTCAGCCAGGGGACTTAATTTCTTTGCTGATGATTTCACCTCTGACTATAAAAAAATAAAAAAAGACATAAGCTGAGCTGATGTCTAGCACCTCAAGACATCTTCCGTAAATTGATTAGTAAGTCGTTAGGCAAGCACGGAGCTACTCCCAGCCTTCTCAGGTATTCCTTAAAGATGCTCACAGCCAAGATCGCTGGGAATCTGGGTTCTGGACAGACACAGAGAATGTTTTCACCTGGCCTCCATTTTCTCCTTTGTTTGGAGAGTCAGTTCCTGAAAATACCCATGTGGCATTCTGATTCCAGGACCAGATGGACACTGACCCAACCAGGCCAATCTTAATCTTGTAAAGCCTTCACTGTCAGGGCTAGGAAAGAGAGGGCATCTTTCCCCTGGGGGGGGCGGGGGGGCAAGTCGAAGGAGGTAAGTCCAGAGCAGTGAGCTTCTGCAACTTGAGACAATACTCCTCTCCTAACCCAAGCCACACCGAGTCACCTGAAATCAAAGGTTGTCCACACACCACTGAGCACCTCCAGGAAGAGGCCCCTGCTGGATGATTCACTTACCGCCCCCAAAACTGCCGAGGGCCGTTCCCCTGGAGAAACCCAGCATGCGGCAGAAGACGGTGGCGTCAGAGTTGTCCCAGCTGTCATCACAAATTGTCCCCCAGACATCGTTATAGTAAACTTCAGCCCGACCACGATTGCTGCTGCCGACGATTCTGGCATGTGTGAAGGATGTGCCTGGGTGAGAAAACACGGGGGGAGAGGTGAAGAACCTCCCAGGGCCTGTGTCAACGCAGGCTTTCCCTGTCCATTTCTGGAAGTCCTCCAGCTATAGAAGAGCAATCCCCCGGCTGGCTGCTGTCAGGAGTCTGGGAAACTCCCCCCCACACACATACACACACACACACACACACACACAATTTTCCAATATGGAACTGACTCCAAAGCATAAAGAAAATGGAAATATCGATTACCTTTTTGACCTTTTTCTCCCTTTTCTCCTTGCGGCCCAGAAGATCCTGTTGCGAGGAGAAAACCCACACAATTTGAAGGAACCACAGAGCCAGGATGCCCTTGCTCTCCTTTGCCGGGAGTGGACTGGAGGATCCAGGGACAAGAGGATGCGGGGAAGTGGGGGCCAGTTCTCTCCTCCAGCTTCACCTGTGACCTGGCATTGTGGGGACTGGGATGTGCCCTCGTACCAATGGTTGAGCAGGGAGAAATGGGCCTGAGCTATGGTAGGAAGGATGGCAGTTGGGTTGTGGAGGGATGTTTGACGGGTATGAGGCATGGGGGTGGGACAGGGGTTACTCCTGCACAGAACCATCCAGTTGGTCATGGATGCTGGGGAGGCCGAGGGCATGGCTGGGCGTGGCTGGAGCGCTCTTGGCAGGTGGGCTGTGTTGTGTCACTGCCCTGTGCTCAGTGCCCAGGGCAACCCCAGCACATAATCCTGCCAATGGACTGAAGAAGCTTCCCCTGCTTGGGTTCTGAAAACCCGTATGCCCTGAAAGCAAGGCCAGTCTCCTAGGAACCCATGAATCACAAGACAAGCCTCACCTTTTTGTCCTGGGCTCCCCGTCAGGCCAGATGGTCCAGGTGGTCCAGGCCGTCCAGGTGGTCCTGCAAGACCTATCGACCCGGTTCTTCCCATTTCTCCCTTTATGCCTGAAGGGCCGAGAGGAGAGAGATCACCCTGTGGATGTCCTGCTCTGCTTCTCCAAGGTGGACCCAAGGATCTTGGTGTTTCATCCACGAGTTACTCTTAACCACCAGGTTCCCCGTGAATGGGCTCCTTGAACATTTAGCCAGTAGCTTAGTCCGGCTGGGGGCTGTTTAGGCTCCCTAATCCTAAATGAATGCTATTGAGAATACGCAGGTGGGAATGGCTGGCCAAGTTCCAGACATTCTGCAGTCCATTCTCAGCAGATGACATAATTTTATAGACATTCTAGTCATTTGGGGAGAATTTGCTAGAACATTCCTAGGCCAGTGTCTCCTTCAGTAAATTAACATAGTCATACAATATATTACTCACGAAGAAGAAAAGTTGCTCTGGAAATTTGTCTGAGAAATTTTGCTTCAGCATTTGTTATGGATTGGATATGGTTTGAGTGCATTCCCCAAGGATTCATGTGTGGGAACTGGGTCCTCAGGGTTAAGAAGACATGGGACCTTTGGGAGCTGGGGCCTAGTGAGGGGTCCTTAGGCCAACTGGGGATACTGCCCCAGACTTTTTTTTCCTGTCTGGAGATATGATCTCTCCATCCCATGTGCACTCTCACCCTTATGATACCATTCGTCATGAGGCCTTCACCAGGGCCAGCAAAATGCCCTTGAACCTCCAGATCTGTGAACTCAACAAACCTCTTTTCTTTATAAAACTGGCCTGGCTCAGGTATTTCATTATAGTAATAAAATGGACTAAACAGCACTCACTAAGGCCAGGCTGTTGAGAAGACTAGAAATACTGCATGGTAAGTACTGAGCTCAGTAACCAACTATAAGCAAGTGCTCAGTATGTAAGGTCGATACTGAAAGCCTAGAAGATGCAGCAGGGGGAGTACAGTGAGGTTTCAGGAGCTGAGAAAAAAGACCAAAGCAGGGGATGTGGAAGCCCCCAACCATGAGTAGGAGACGGAGGTTGCCCAGCTCCATGGGGGCTACACAGGCTGGAGCCAGCACCTGCAACAGCAGCTCACGAGCCACCCTTTGCCACCCTCAGCCCCTGCACCCCCAGCCCCGACACTGGATTCTGACTTGCTGCCCTTTCCAGGTTTTTCAAGAGAAGAATCAGGGCTTGGATGGCAGAACCTTAGAGTCTCAGCCTCAACTTTGAGGGAAGGTCACAGCTATGCTTTCAAAGTCAGCAAGACTCAACTTGCAAGCACGCAGGACTCACCAGTCATGATTCTGAGAAATTAAAACAAAGCCAGCCCTTTACCTGGGATTCCTGATTCTCCTTTTGTCCCTTTCTGTCCTTGAATTCCTAAGATCAAAACAAAGAAGATAATAAAACTTCGATATTAGACACTTTTAATCTTAGACACTCTCTACCTTTTGTCTGATTAATGCAGATGGAAAGATACATTGGTTCTCCCCGATTGTTGAAAACCTCTTCAGCAGAACATAAAAGAAGACAGGCTGCAGATAAATGGAGTTGGGGGTGTTTGGCGTATAAATAGCAGGGTTCTGGATTAGCAGACCCCAGACTCACCGGCCGGCCTTCCCTGTCCACCAGCACCCTCACTTGGTGTCTCCTCCAATCCCCTTCCTGCTACATTTTATGGAGAGATATTTATTGAAGAGAATTGAGAGAAGATTTGGAAATAAAGTTATCTTCATTTCCAGAAGGCTGTGGAGGGAACTTAGTGACCACCCAGAGGTTGGGGGTGCCCTCACCCATAGTAGATGCTCCCTAAGTACTCATTGGTTTATTCATGGTGGCCTCCAGTATGGGTAAAGATTCATGTGGCTAAAGGTTTTTATGTTCAGAAAAAGGAAAAAATAATAAACACATGGTTGGTGATGGTTCTATTTGTGGTTAATGTGAGAGGTTCCTCCCTCCTTCCTTCCTTCCTCCCTTCTTTCTTTACTTTTCTACCTCCTTCTTTCCCATTCATCCCTTTATTCAATTAACTTTGCAAAAGACCCACTATCTCCTGCTGGGACCACTTTGTGGATCACAATTGACTCACTTAGCAATATCGTGGACTCTCCATTTTCAGGGCAAACATTGACTTATTTTGGAGCGCTAGGACTCCGCAGGACAGTTGCACCAACTTGAGGAAATGCAAGTTCATTACCAAGCAGCAGCCCCAGGAGAGTAACAAGGGGACACCAACAGCTATTCACAAGCATCTGTGCTCATGCCGTGCCCTGGACCGGCTTCCCACCCAAGACACGGCCCTCATCACAGGGCGCCCTTCTGATGAGCACCAGAGCCCCCAGGGAGCTCAGTCACCCTCTTTGCAGTTTCTGGGGGACCTTCTTACCTGCCCTGCTCCTGTTGCCAACTTACTACCTGAATTTCCTGAGCACTGTGGTGTGTGCTGGTCAGCCTGTAGGCCTCTTGAGAACTGCTTCTAGGGATGAGCCAGAGAAATCTTGGTTCCCAGCAGCATCTCAGAAGACGCCCAAGAGGCCTGGTGCTGCCTGAGGAGGGGCATTTAGAGCCAGGAGCAGCAGAAATCCCTGGCAGGTTCCCAGAGGGCAGCCACTCCACCCCTCAGGCTAGGGATGGGAACAGAACTGAGGCAGAGAGAGGTTCTGGGTGCCTTTGAGGTCAGTCGCTGGCAGACAGGCCCTAGCTGTCCTGACCCAGTGGTCATGCAGCCTGGTTGAGTCCGTCTCTACCCTCTCCTTGGCTCTGTGACCTTGAACCGGATGACCCTGCTTGGAGCCTGTTTCTTCTCTCATTCTCCCCATTGCCCCGTGAAGCCGTTGTGAAGCCCCAAGTGGAGTCATGTTTGCTAAGGGCGGAGGTGAATGTCAGGCCAGTGCTAAAGAAATGGTGTCATGAGGACCCCACAGACCCTGTACACGTCTGTCTTCCCTCCAGGAGCCAAGTGTCTCTGTGTCTGGCACTGCGGTGGAGGCTCTGAATAGGCACAGGGAAATCTTTGCTGTTGACCTCAAAGTACTGAGCTGAGGCCACCTGAAGAGGCGGCCAATATCTCTATTTTGCTTACTTACCTCTGAATAGCATAGTTCTTGACCAGGGGGGTCATTAAATAGGAAAATGGTCCACATCTCAACTCTGGCATGTTCTGTCCCCATCCTGGAGGGCACCATATTGCAGCAATCTCTACCTCAAAGAGCCTGTCACTGGAAGCAAGTCTCGGGGACCCTGGAGTACTGTAACCTCCCCTATTGTCTGCACTCAAAGACGTACACCTCTCCAGCTGTCCTTTAAAACACTGTACAACAAAGGACCTCTTGAAGCTGGGAGCTACAGAGGAGTCCCTGTTCATTAGGCCCATCTGATGACCCCCCACTCTGTTCCCCACAATCTTCCTTCCCGGTCCCTGACCTCCAGGGGGCTCAGCATTAGCTGCTGACTGCATTGTACCAGGCACGGTGCCAGGGGCTTTACCCATGCCACCCCCTTCCATCTTTCACCTACCCCACATGGTAGTGTTATTTCCTTTCCTTACAGAGGAGGAAACTGACATTCAGAGATGCCAAGTGATTTATCCAACAGGACTTCATGGTGAAGTCCCGCTGCATGGCCTCCCATTGTACCCTGCGCTTGCCTTTGCTCCACCAGCATGCCAGCTTCACCCCTTGCTGAAGTTTCACTCAGGCTGTCCTCTGGTCCCTGAGATACCTCCAGATTCCTTTGGGCCATCCCTTTCCCCTAAGAGAGGTGAAGTAACCTAGAGTGTGCATCAGAATCACCTGGATGGGACTTGTTGAAAAACAACATAATACACCACCCAGAGTGGCTGAGTCAGTGGCACTGAGCTGAGGATCTGAGAATCTGCATTTCTTAAGCTCCCAGGGCATGCTGATGCTGCTGGTCCAGGGACCACACTTTGAGTAGCACTGCCCTAAGCAAATCTTACTCATTCTTTCTTTCTTTCTTTTTAAGTTTTTGATGGACACAATATATTTATTTTTATGTGGTTCTGAGCTTCAAACCCAGTACCTCACATATGCTAGGCTAGTGCTCTACCACTGAGCTACAACCCCAGTCCCTCAATCTCATTCATTCTGTAGGGACCAGTTCATAGCCTACCTCTTCAGAGCAGCCTTCCTATCCCTGTAGGATATGCCATCCCCACCCGATCCTGGGCTCTCATGGGTACCACAGTTCACAAGACAAGAGTTTGGTCCTTGATTACATGCCTTCTGAGATGCGTTTAATGAGTGTCAATTTAGTCTTCAAAGCTCTTCCTTCAAGGGGAAGAAATCAGAATTTTGTTTTGTGTGATTTCTCTCTGGGCCTTGCTGGCTAAGTAGATGTTGGTAGACTGACTAAATGATCATGGGACAGTAATCACTTCACTATCCACCAACACAGTGTCCGTACTAGATTGGCTACGACACGTAGGTGCAAGGAATGGTTGAGCTGAAAGGTAGATCTAGAACTGCATGCTCTGAAATCACAGATACCAGCTCTTCCTTTTCAACCACAGAACGGGTATAAACCCCAGCAAACTGGAAATCACACACTTATAAAGCTGAGAAGCCCAAAGGTTTATTTGCAAAGTATTTTTAGGGAAATGATCCCCCCATCTCTAGAGAATGGTTAGAGCATGCATATTCCCTTTGCTTAGTGTTCCACAGATGCTCTGATGGAAGTCAGCTTCTCTCTGCTCTGAGGGGAAATAGCTATTCCACACTCAGAGTGCTGTCCAGCTGGTGGGGACTGGTACACTCTATACTAATCCTATGCCACCAAAGAAGAAACCTATGCCCAGTGAGATTAAGTCCTGGCCCACAGTTACCCAGCTAGTCAGGGGCAAGCCCAAGTGGAAGGTCAGGTCTCCTGATTCTGAGTTAAATGTAGAAGTGCCCAATACATTAAGAAATTTCCTTAAATACCATCTTGACTTACAGTCTGTGTGCAGCCTGACAACGTTAGGATTAATCTAATACGTGAAAAATTGAGCTGTGTGTTAAGAAGTGATATGTTGGACAGGTGACCTACAACTTGGATGTGTGTAGACTTCTCAGATGTCTCTAAGAAACATAGAGGAAAATTAGGAGGACTTTTTAAATGACCATTTAGTAATCTGACTTGGTCAAATTTAATAAGTTCTTGAACTACCTGAGTATTCAGTTATGAGGAATGGAATAAACTGAGAAATATGTTCAGGATATAGGGCTTAATTGTTATGGATTATCTTTGTTGCTTATCTTTATGGTAAAACATCTTAACATGCCAATGAGAAAACAGATTTCAAGTTATTTGCACTTTGGCTTTGTCTCAATGTGAAAATGGAAGGTCCTAGAAGATTCTCATTGTTATGTGTTGGACATAAATCCATTGAGATGAAAAATTTCTGATTGGGTTGGTGTTTTGGAGCTCAAATGACTTGACTTCTTCTAAAGTCATTTCATAGAAGGGAGATGGCAGAAAGAGTCATGTCATGACTTCAAGTCAAAACTGAGTCCTGCCTTGTTTCCAAACTAGACGTTTCAAAGTAGCTCAGGGATGTAGAGCTAAAGTTCAGTTATTATCATTATTTTTTTTGCAATCTTTTGAAAGAGAAAAATCTGGAAAACTAAGTTGGGGGTTTGGATGGGAGCCTGTTACAGTCAGGTGAAGGAAATTAACGTTAGAGAAAATTCCGCTGGGAATAATGTCTTACTTAATAAAATATGGAGTTTATCTTCCCAGCAGAAAAAAATGGAATTTCCTGTTTTTTTCTTTAATCAGACAGAGATGGCTTATCTCCCTCAAGAGGTACAAATAAGCGGGAACATTCCACCTTCCCAGGCTGAGTGTGGAATGGAATAAACTGAGAAATATGTTCAGGATATAGGGCTTAAATGTTATTATGGATTATCTTTATTGCTTATCTTTATGGTAAAACATCTTAACATGCTGACGAGAAAATAGACCTCAAGTTATTTGCACTTTGGCTTTGCCTCAATATGAAAATGAAATGTCCTAGAAGATTCTAATTGTTATGTGTTGGACATAAATCCATTGAGATGCAGATGAGAAAATAGGTAGGAAAGAGGTCTGGCGACTGAGCCAGGATTTACCTATCATAGGATGAAATGTTCAGGAAGAACTCAAGGCTCTTCTGTTCAACAAATTAGAATAACGGTGTGCCATTTGACACAACAAAATCTAGAAAAGCACAATTTTGTAATCAGATTTTAGGATTAACTCCGAGAGTCAATGCATGCTAATCATGAGCCCTTGAGCAAAGGCCTTACCCTCTTTGAGCCTTTGCTTCCTTGGCTGCAAAGTAGGAAGGCTAACACTCAAGTGTGCGGATTAGATGAACTAAGATCGTAGGAGTCAAGTTCTGCACACAGTGCCTGGCCCAGAGGCACTGTTCATAATAAATGGAGCTCTTATTAGTCATAATTAATGCACAATAATGAAATCTAGCTGTCACCTAGGTCAAACCAACACACTCTAATTTCTCTGTTTTCATCCAAAATACCTAGATATTCTCTTGAGAGATTAATGATCTTATTTACAAAATGGGAAATACATCAGTTTGAAAACCTGGCTTGATGCATCAAAATGGGACAATCACCATGGTAACTTTAGTTTGGGGAATACCAGCATCCTGACATTGACAAGTGTACATTGTCTTTCATGTTAGGAAGATCTGACTCCCCCTCCCCTCCACTCCTCCTTCTACTGCTTCAGAAATCAGCACATCTAATCTCTCCAGAAATTCAGTAGCCTTGGACTCAGACATGATATACAGACCAGATATTCCTCTCTTGGAATTCCCCTCTGAGAGGTCCACAGAGATGATCTGTCCCTTGATCAAGGCCACCTTTCTGATTTTATATATATGGTCATTATCATGTGTCCTAAATTGAAATCAAAATTCATCGTGTTTACCTGAACAGTCAGAATTAGGGGGTGACCCCTAGAGTTTGGCTGGCTGATATTTATCACTAGGGATGATTAGTGACGAACCCATAAAGATACTCAACAGACACACAAGGACTTGATCCTCAGACTGTGGCATCTTACGTTAACGTTGGCATGGGTGAACCATGTAGGGCCCTAGAGCTTTAGGTCTCCTCTTAAGATTGGGAAAAGCTACTACTGCTTTTGTTCTGATCCTTTCTGAACTAGAATGAAGGGGGAAGGTGACACTGTCAGAGTCTCCTGATGGAAACTGTTGGAGAGGAAGACCGCAGGATGGAGTGGCGTGGATAAGACCACAAGCTTCCAATCAGCACAGCCTAGATTCCAACCATGGGTGCCCATCTTAACTGGCTGCTTGCCTTTGAGCAATTTACCATAAAACAGCACTAAATAGAGTGCTTAGTTGGTAGGGTTGTCATGGAAATGCTCAATATCATGGGCCACTCTTATCGTACACACGGTCCCAGGATGCAGCATTCAGGGTGGGATTCCCTGCTTCAGACAGTGGGAGACCCAGACATGGGGTCTCGGGGTGAGCACAGTGCCTCAGTGAGTAAAGTCATGTTGTTGCTCAATATTCTGGCTTAGCCAAGAGCTCTGGGTCTGGCCATGGATCAGGAGCAGAGAGTGACCACTACTTTAATGGAGGGAGGAAAACCAGTCTTCCTCAGGAAGCCACACAGAAAACCTAGGGAAAGAGAGCTTCAGGCCCCAAGTCAGATGGACCCAAAGAGAGGGGACCAGAGAAGGTGGAACTGTAAGATCAGAAAGGACAGTCAAGAAGTGAGGGACATCTGACAGAGGGAGATTTTCTCAAGGTGAGAACTTGTTAGTGGCCTTCTGATGGCATCTACATGGGATACCACCTGGCAGGGCCCTGTCCACACCAACACACAGTCCATGAAGGAGATAATGGCTCTGAGGCTGGATGGAGTAGAAGGACAGAGAAGGTGTCCTTGTCATGGCTCCCAATAACCTTCAGGAAAAACTCCAAAGATCAAAGGCCCAGAGTCCAAGGCTTCCCATGTAGCAGTGATGAATGCCGGGGGGTGAATGAGTGAATCGCCTACTCCATCAACTAGGACTGTGAAGGGCCAGCCAGATATGGGTCAGAAGCACAGCCTGGGCGAGTCACCAGCTTGCCTCACATAGCACACCTTCTACGCCATCCGCCATCCACAGAACATCCAGCAGACACACGGCCCCTTCTGTCCACCCTGCACCCCCACAGCACCCTCTGCCTGCACCTTGCTTTCCAAATGGCATGCAACAGTTCTCCACGCCAGAGCGCACCTGAAGTCTGTTTTTTGCACCACCTTGTGTATCTGGGGACATCTTGAGTGGCCACCACCCAACACAGTGGCCTGGACTTTCTAGGCTAAGTGGACACAATGCAGGAACCTAAACCTAAAGACTGGACAACATTAGTACAGTGGTTTACAAAGTAGACCACACTGGTACATGGCCTATGGCCAAGACTAAATTGGCATGAATACCCTTCCATGACAGTACATAACCTTGACCAAAGTTGGCATGAGGTTACGGAAGGCCAGCATGCTCCAGCATCCCCGGGAGAACATGCCAATAAGGGTGTCTTGATCCTCCTGCCCGAATTCAGTGAACCTTGCTGAAGTTCAGCAGGCAGGAGTGGACACTGTGTGGGATGCCCCCCAGGGCAACGCGCCCTCCCTCTTCGGGAGGTTGGAGTCTGGTCATGACACTCAAGGCCCTCTGGGAACTCTGGACAGAGGAAGAATAGCCCAGGGACCTTGAGCGCCAGGGGTTCTGACCCCCTAAATCAGGGATCCCCAGGGGTCAGGGCTCAGATGACCCTCTGTCTCTTTCCATGGAGGACTCTTCCAGCAGTGTCCCCACTGACACCCAGAAACCCCCCACCTCCCCACCCCATCTTACCTGTGTCTCCCTTGCTTCCTTTCATACCCTGGTCTCCTGGTCTCCCGGGACTCCCCTGTGGTCCTAGACAACACACCCCACAGAGAACATGAGGGCTGGGCTGGGTGTGTGCTTGGACACCCCCCCCCACCCCATGCCCACCATGGGCTGCACGACCTCACCTGTTACTCCAGGTGACCCAGTTCTGCCAGGTTCACCTTTGGGACCCGATGGTCCCGCTGCACCGGGATGGCCTGGAACACCTTGCGGTCCAAGTTCTCCTGGAAGTTAAGTGGTGACCACAAGGCTGGGGGTGGTTGGCAGAGGGTCTGGCTGCCCCCACCCCTCATGCCTGAGTTCTCGGCAGTGGGACATGCAACTCCTAACCCCTGAGAGCTCCCTCTGCAGCTCTAACCATCTGGGGCCAGCGAATGCCTTTTTCCATTCACTGTCGTGGAGTCTGGGACTTGTGGATGTGCTAGGAACTCCGAGTTCCAGCACATGCCCTGTGTGGCAGAGTGGGGTGAAGCTCTAACCAGGACGAGAGCAAGGAAGCCAGCCCTTCGCTGGCTCCTTCATTCCTCATAGGAAGAGCTTGGTGTTGAGAAGCCCCAGGTCCCCGGGGTTCACAGTCTGGCCCTCGACGGGACTCGGCCCAGGCACCAACGCAGCCAGAATGACTGCCCCAGCTCCAGCCGGTCCACACGCCACAGTCCTCACCTTTATCACCCTTGTCTCCAAGAGGTCCAGGTGGACCTAAAACAAAGAAGGACTCTCAGGAATTGTCTCCCTTTGGCTCAGCCTGCTGAGGAAAAGGGGAATACACACCTACAGGTCAGTGGCCCTGACCACACGCCTCTTACCTTGTGGGCCTGAGTTCCCAGAGTCACCTTTACTCCCCGGGGGCCCAGGGGGTCCCATGAGCCCTGTATCTCCTTTCATGCCCATGTCTCCTTTGCTTCCTGGAAAGAAAAGGGTCAAGGTCAGGCATGATGAAGCCAGCCAGGAGGTCCAATTCAGATACTGCCACCCCACACAAATTCCAAACTCAAAACCCCTTGACCTCCTACTTGGTGACTGCACACCACCTTTCCCCAGAGGCAAGACACACACTCATGAAGGGCTGGAAAGTTACCTGGCATGGCCAGTGGTGGGCAGAGGGCCCTGCAGCCAGCTCTCAGGACTTGAATCAGAGCCCTGGTTCCCCAGGGGAGGACACAGCCCAGGCTTAACCAGCAGTTTTGCATTTGGGGAATTATTTTTTAAACCCTCTCAAACTGCAACCTGAATGTTCTAGAAAGCAGATCCCAAATGCTGAGAATCACAACTCTGGGGCATTGTTGATGGAGAGAAAGAACATTGCCCCAGCTCCTATTCCCGCCAGCACACCAGACACAGGCTTTCCTGGTACTCAAGATTCCAAATTTTCCACTTGCTATCAGCATTCGGGGCTCATCCACCCTGTCCTCTCCTGAGTCCTCCATCGCTCCCTCCTCCTTTCCTGGAAGTGCCTGGTGCATATCAATCAAGGCTGGCTCCTCACAGGAGCAGGTCTCTGTGACTGCTTCCCAAAGTGCCTTTTGGTTGGGAAAAGAGCCAGGCAGCCCTCCCTGGTCACACCACATAGGGCCACTGGATGGCTAGTGTTTATTAAGTTACTGACATTCCCTTGTCAGCAAGTGGGATGTCCAGCTTCACACCCCTGGGACAGAGTGGGATGAAGGTCTAAGGAAGACAATATCACCCCAAAACAATCTTTTAGGATCTCAAATAGACACTTGGGAGGAGATTTTGTTTAAAAAAAGACTCTGTTTTATCATTTTGGTAAGATGGCTCTGGAGAGGTCTCAAGGAGGATTCCAACCTTCCCTCCAGTGAATTAAGATCAGGGACACCATTGCTACCAAGAGAAGAGAAAGAGCCGGCCTTGCTGGGCCTGGGTTTGGAGTGGAATTAGTGCAAGACTTGGAATTTAAATTCTTTGAGATAGTTGGACACTTAGAAGAATGCTTGATGCTTGATGGGAGATAAGTCCATCATAAAGGACGTGGCACCTGGACACAGAGACACAGCTAGTGAGGAGGAAAGCATCCAGGGCACTGTCACACAGCATGGGGATGAGTGGTGTAAATCAGAAAAGCTAGAAACAAGGAATTTTAATGTTCTCATCCCCAAGAAAGGATAAACATTTGAGAAGATGGGTAACCTAAACACCCTGAATTGTACCCAGATATCATACTGTACCCCATAAACATGCACATATTTGTCAATTAAAAATGAATTAATTAATGTAAAAAGAAACTTGGTTTCAGTTGAGATCTTTCATAGCAGCCTAAGGTGCAAACAGCAGAGAAGGCAGTTCTTGACCATTCATGGTGAATGGAGAAGGGTCCAATGGCACCTATTAGAGGGGACTGGGATTATTTCCATGTGGGGAATTTGTTGGTGCCTATTGATCTGGACCACGTCCATCAGGTTAGAGTATTCTGCTGCCTGTATGTAATTCTCCAATATGGTGTGGACCAACAGCTGTGTTGCAATGACTTCAAAGTTCACCCAGGCGACGGTTCTGATCTACTGGGGTGAAGAAGGGAGGTGAAACCTCAGTGTCACTAGGGGCTGGTCTCACTAGGTGGACTGCGCAGGCGCTGAGAAAGCAAAAGCTATCGATCTGGAGAGAGGGGTTCAGGGTAAGCAGGAGGGGGCAGAGGGCGGCTTCCTGAGGACTGAGGTCGCTGTTTCCTCTCCGAACCCACTGCCACGATTTCAGGCCTGGGTCTGGGTGGGGGTTCCCAGGGAAACCAGGTGGATCAGACAAGGGCGAGCGGGCAAAGGCCTGGCTGTCACCCCTCCGGCGATGTTCTGGAGCCACCCTAGATTCTCTGAGGTTCCCTTTCCCATCTGCAAAGAGAAGTGTGCAGCAACGCTCCGAGCCCACGTGGGTCCCACAGGAAGGAGTGAGCAGCCCTTCCTCCCTCCCCAGTGGGGGGCTGCCTGCTAGACCTGTGAGAGCCCAGTTCATCAGAGTCAGCCCCTTACCTCTGCATAATTAATCGGTTCTCCTGAAACTTTGGCTCATTGGTCCTCATTCTTCTGCTGGTCACCCCCGAGAGCCAAATCTATGTTCCCCCTTCCACTGCTTTTCAAACATTTGAAGATGGCTAACAGGGTTTTCTTTTTGAAGTCAAGCTTTTTTTTTTTTTTTTTAATAAAGTCAATCATTGCTATCTGCCAGGTACAGTGTTACCTATCTTATATGTATTATATGCTTTTTTTAGTTAATCCTTATGAAAGGTCAGTATTATCCTCCTTTGTTAGGTAACTTGAGGCTCAAAGAGGTTAAGCCATTTGCCCAAGATCACACAGCTAGTGACCATATCAGAAACTAGGTCTGTCTGATCTTGGAACGGAAGCCCTTCCCTTTCTGTTGCTGGATAACTGCTTCTACTACTGATTTATTATTATTTATTTAGTGCCTACCATGTGGCAGACAGCTTGAAAACATGATCTCTAGCCCTTATAACTGCTCTAAAAGGTGTTTATAATTTAATTGTTATTTTAATTGAATGATCATCATTCTCTGAAATGAGGAAATTGGATGTCAGAAGGGTTAAGGAAGGTGCCTAGTCACCCAGGTGAGCAGGTGCAGAGCAGGGATGGAAACCAAGCCTGCCCGCTCCCCCACAGCACCCAGAGACCCCTGAGGAGGCTGTAGGAGGCCAGAGTTGAGGAGCAGGAAGGTTCTCTGTCAAGTCCAGAGCCCTGGAGCAACACTTCTCCAACTGTGGTCCCAGACCTTCAAGGTCAGAATCACCTGGGGGCATTTAAATGAGGCTCTTGGGCCCAACTTGCACTTAGAGCAAGTACCTGAGTGCTTCCCACACGTGGCCATGCCTGAGAATCGCTGCTCTGGAGACAGTACCTGCTGTCGATGGGGGTTGCTAACCACTTGTGTCCCCTCTCCTGGAATCAAATCCTGTGCCCTCACCGCCAGTCTGCCCTTTTCTCAAGTCCCCTCCCAGGCCCACCTCTCGACGTCCTCCCTGAGCTCCCAGCCTGGCTCTGCCACCCCCCCTGGGTGTACCTGGACTGGCCGAGTCCTCCCTTTCCCATGGTACCCTGTCTTTTCTCCCCAGTGTGCAGGGGCGCCTATAGGCAGAGGCCTCCCCAGGGGGCAGTGAGTAGATGGAGTGTCACAGAACTTGGGCCCTAGCTCCCTCTGGCCCCCCCTGAGCATCAACACCCCAGCGTGCCCTTACCTGGGGCGCCCAGGTCTCCTTTGTCCCCCTTAGCGCCGGTGTCCCCCTTGGGGCCCATGACACCCTCGCTGCCTTGGCTGCCCTTCTGTCCTTGGGGTCCTGGGGACCCTGCAAAAGAAGGGTCGGTGAGGTGGGCTCAGAGTGTCCTCCTAGGGATGGGCTCCTGGTGAAAGAAGCAGGGAGCATTTGGAGGAAAGGGGAAAGGGGTCCCCAGAGACAGCCAGGAGTGGTCTTGATACGGTGAATCGAGACTCAAAGGATAGGACTGTGGGGAAGGCATTAACCCTCTGGGGCCCTCTGGAGAGAGGACTTTGGGGGCAACTGCCTCAGGACTCAGGCACGGATCCCTGATCCCATGCAGGGGAAGCACGAGTTACCAGTGGCTCCTTGCTCCCCAGGCTCGCCCTTGGGTCCTTGGAGGCCTGTGGAGAGGGAGGGAGAGCTCAAGGTCAGTCAGTGCCCTCAGGGATCTTCAGTCAGCTGACATTCTGCTGCCCCTGAGGTGGGCAGGGCGCCCAGCAAGAGACCCCCCAACCACACACACACACACACAAATGCATGAATGTATATGGCCGAGTCCTGGGAGGGTCTGGAAAATATCTGCTCTCTTCCCAAAGGCTGGACAGTGCCTGGGCGTGTGTCTCAAATGGCGGCGGAAGAAAGGCTATAAAGGAAGGCAAGTTTATTGGAGTTGTAGCTCCAACACCCAGCAAGCTGGATGACTGTGGAAAAACCATTTAAGTAGTCTGCACCTCAATTTATTCATCTGTAAAATGGGGCTGCTAATGACTGGGTTCTTAGTAGGTGTGTAGTTAGTGCTCCAGTGCTCGGGATGACAGTGGAACTGAGAAATGGTGGTCCCTTCCTGCGTGGTCCAGAGATCCTAGGTCAGCATGTGGGGTGTTAGGTGTTCCTGGAGGAGGGGGGGGGGGGGGGGGGGGGGGTCCGGGGGGGGGGGGGGGGGCTCTGTGCAGGGGGGGGCAGGGGCAGGACCCTGAGGATGGGTTGGAAATCGAGGGATCCAGGAGGGAGACTGAGAAAGGAAGAGAGTGAGGGCAGAGACTAGGTGGGGAGGGAGAGGCCCTGAGCAAGTAGCTGATTCTCCTCCTCTCCCTGGGGGGAGCAGCAGCACCTGTGGGAAGACGCAGGCGAGCTTGGGCTCCCACTCTCCCTGGCACCACTAAAGTTACTTCTTTAAGCTGTTTTACGCAGGGGGTTCCCTGGAGGAATGGGGCCAGAGAAGGGTTGCCTGGTTTTATTAAGATCACAGAAGCTGGGTGCAGTGGCGCACGCCTGTGAGCCCATCGACTCAGGAGGCCCAGGCAGGAGGATTGCAAGTTCGAGGCAAGTCTCAGCAACTTAGCAAGACCCTGTCTCAAAATAAAAAGTAAGACGGTTGGTGGGGATGGGGGGTGTGAGGTAGAGCACACCCTGTTGTTGACCTCAGTCGGGGGAGCTCTGTAACCCAACCCATGTCCTTCTCCCATTTGTCCTCTCTGGGAGGGAAGAGGAGGCCAGAAACTTTCCTCCCTATTGTTTAAACCCCATTAGGGACTTAGAATAATAGTTCTGTGGCTCCCAGGTATTCAATTCCTTCCACAAGTCAGTCCCTCTGAGCTTCCTTAGGGCCTGCTGGGTTTTCTTTCTGCCTCAGTGGCCTGGAGGCTTGCAGACCTTTGATTTATTGACTTCCCTCTTCCGCCTCTGCTCTCTGCTGGGAAAGGTCTTACTGACTTTGCGTCTTCACATCTCAGAGGCCTCAGGCCTTTGGGAATTTGGAACTGGAGGGTCTGAGTAGAGTGGAGAGGGCTGAAACCCTCACCAGGCTCAGGGTCAGGTCTCTTCCCTGGGGAGGGACATCTCTGTCCCTGCAGTCTCTGACCCAGCCTTGCTGTTACGGCTGAGATCTGAAATGCCCTCCTGCTCCAAAGCTTATGTGTTGAAGGCTTTGTCCCCAAGGCAGCAGTGCACAGAGGTAGGCCCTTCAGGAAGTGACTGGATCGTGAGGGCTCTGAGCTCATCAGTGGATTAAGCCATGGATGGATTCATAACCCAGTGGGCTATTTGGAGGTGGTGGAACCTTTAGAAAGAGGGTCCTGCATGGATGATGTAGGTCCCTGGGGGCATGATCTTGAAGGGTATATTTTGTCCCTGTTCCTAAGCAGCTTTGCTCCTGCTTGCTCCTCCCCCACCGCCATGATGTTCTGCCTCCCCATGGGCCTAGTGGAAACAATGCAGCAAGCGACCAGGGGCTGAAATTCCAAGTCAGACTTTCTCTGGTTAAGTTGTTGACCTCAGGCTATTTGTTACAGTGATGGAACACTGACGGACACACCTGCCGTGCTGTGTACAGAGGGTCAAGCAGGCCAAGGCTGCAGCCTAAGACCTGGAGCCCAGTACTTTCCCAGCAGCCTTCATGGGTGTATATCATTTTCCCAAATCCCTTGGCAACCCCTGGAGCCCTCTCAACCCATTTTTACAAACAAAAAGCTGAGACTCAGATAGTTAAGGTGACATTGCCAAGGCCAAATTCTTAATTTCCTGTTGAACCAGGGAGCTTGACTTTCCCCAGTGACACTCACAGGCTCAGACTCATAGCACCAAGGACAAGGAGAAGCATCCACACCCCTCCAGCTCCGCCCAGGCTGAGGCCCCACTGTCTGTACCCCGCCCCCAGGGCTGCTGCCCAGCCCTGCCCTCCCTCCATGCCTCCTGGCCTCAGCCCAGCCAAGACCTCCTGCCAGCCACGTCTCCTGTACAGACCCCTCCAGGGCATCAGACTCTGGCATGAGTCCCTGTCTGTAGCCCAGTGTCACTGAGAAAGATGGCCATGCGCCCCTCTGCACCCTGGCCCTACTCACCTGCGTCTCCCTTGATGCCTGGTGGGCCCTGGGGTCCCCGGAGACCTGGAGGGAAAGGGAATTCAGAGCGTGGCCCAGAGAAGGCAGGAAAAAAAGGTGACCAGGCCAGGAAACTCATACCTGGGGTTCCATCTCGTCCTGGGGCCCCCGTGGCTCCCTTCTCAGCTGGTGGCCCCGGCGGGCCAGGCATACCTGGGGATCCCTTTTGACCTGGAAGACCAGAAGAAGAGGCACAGGTGTCAGTGAGGTGAGCACGTGGGACGGCAATGCCACGCTCTCCATTCACCCAAGAACTTTCCCGAAGCCCCAGGGACAAGCTAAACTTTATGGAGGGTAAAACAGGAAAGAGGAGAAACCTTCATCTGAGAAGCTTGGGGGCAAAAAGGCCAAAAAAAAAAAAAAAAAAAAGGAAAAAAATGTTGAGATGGAGCCTAAGATCCAGAGGGCTGTGTCCTCATGTATATACAAGGCAGGGGGCCAGAAGGAAGGAGCAGAACCGGGGACTAGACCCCTCACTTTGGGTCAGGGTCCCTGTTGATGTGTCTCAGGAAAAAGAATCCATCCAGGGTTCGACAGGCAGCTCCCACTCACCAGCTGGGGGACCTGAATAAGTGTCTCCACTTGGCCCAGTCTCCGTTTCCTCACTTGTGACATGGGAATAGCAATCCCGACCTGACAGTGTCCTCAGGAGGACTAAAAGGGGCTGTGGAACCCTGTGGATCCTACTGAAAGTGGGTGCTCACTCTGTTCTAATTAGCAGCAGGCAGAGTCAAGACGTTCAAAGGCCTCACAGGGCATCAGGGATATCAGGCCCCTGCAGAGGGGTCACTCCTACAGGCAGATCAAGGCTGGAGGTTTCTGCCCCTGGCCTTTCTGGGGAAAGTGACCACTTCCTACAAGCTCAGCCCAGGCCTCAAGGAGGGGCTTTCCAGGGTGACCCCCCCCCAGGAGCCCACATGCATCAGTGTGACTCTCCCCACCCACTCTCAGGCAGTGCAATCTGTCCCTGCTCCCCTGTGGCTCAGGAGTCTAACTCAGTTCCTCCAAATTGGTCTGTATCATCTTTAGCAAGTCAGTGTATTTATGAACCTCATCTGTGAAATGGGGATAATAACCAATAACAGCTCAGAGGTAGTATGAGGGGTCTGCAGAGCATAGAGGGAAAGTGCCTTGAACTTTTCCAGAGGGCCCCTTCCACTTCACTCCTCCCTGGACCTTCCTAGTCCCTGTCCCTGCCCAACCCCTTACCCCATCTCTGCTCTTTTGCACCAGGGCTCCAAATACACAGACATTCCTTCTTTGCATTCTGTAACTCACCAAGCTCCCTTCTCACCCCAGGGCCTTTGCACAGGAGGCCCTCTCTGCCTAGGATCGCTTTTCCTGGCAATCTTCTATTCACCCAGCTGAAAGGCATTTCCTCTGGAGCCTTCCCTGGTCTTGGAGAGCCATTCCCTCTCTGCTTCCTTACAGAGAGATCTGCTGCAACCTATGGAGCAGTCACTAGGGCTGTGACCATATAGAGCTGCGCCTGTAATAGTGTCTCTTTTTCCTAAATTAATACTTGTTGGGAGCAAGCATCCAGGTCTGGAGTGGAGAGGGGAGGGGGAGAGAGACAGGTGGCTAAGGAGCCACTTCCCCTCAGTGACCAGGAAGGCTAAGGAGCCACTTCCCCTCAGTGACCAGGAAGGCTAAGGAGCCACTTCCCCTCAGTGACCAGGAAGCCTAGGGCAAAGCTGCCACTGTCTGAGCTCCACACCCAGCTCCCCCCTCTTGGCTTGATGTTGAGAGCCACAGCCGAAGGGGCCCCAGCAAACTTCCAGCTGATTGGCTCACAGCGGCCCCAGCAAACTTCCAGCTGCCAGCTGATTGGCTCCTCTGGGGTGATAGAAAGGTGTCAGTAGCAGTCTCCTGTTGTAACTTTCCCCCTGATGGCTTTTTCTGCTCTAAACTTTCTTCCTCTGTCTGACTAGCTCGAGAGACCTTCTCTTTTACTTGAATCTTTTCCTCTGTCTGACTAACTTGAGAGACCTTCTCTTTTACTTGAATCAATATGTCTTCTCCTTCCTCTACCTTTGGCTGAACTGAAGGCTTTGGACTAAGCAAACAAGATACGAACATCCACAATGGCAATGTGCCAACTGGCAGAGTCCCTGGGCTTTTCTTTTCTATTCTTTTTAAATCTTCACCATGATGGTTCCATTGTGATATATTTAACAACTCCTCCTTAAAAAGCCATGGGCTACATTTTTGTATTGTATCAACGTATGCTCTGACTGTTCTTGATTTTACTGGGGTGCCTCCTTCCTCTAACAATTTACTTAACACTCTGGCTGGGCACAATTCATGAGCCACTTATCAAGCAGAAATGAACTTTACTTTTAGAACACACACACACACACACAGCACCACAGGAGCTCTTCAGGAATTCCCTCAGAGCCCAACTGCCACCACCGGCTTCCCACAAGCCTCTCAACCCCCCAACTCCTCCTGCTCTTGAGGCCGATTGGCTGGGTCGCGTGGGCGGAGCCAAAAGAGTCCCCCAATGAGCAGCTCCGTGGTCTGAAAGGGCAGGGAAACAACCCAATGAGCATCACCACAGAGGAGCCAATCATCTGGCAGCTGGAAGTTTGCTGGGGCCACTGTGAGCCAATCAGCTGGAAGTTTGCTGGGGCCCCTTGGCTGTGGCTCTCAACATCTTCCTGTGTGTCTCCAAGAAGTTTTGCCTCAAAACAGACTTTTGGGGATCCCTGACCAGGCAAGGTGAGCCATGGGGAGGGGAGAGGGACCACAGCCTGCCCTGGGTGGGCCAGAGTGGAGGTGGGGAGACATGAACAAGCAGGTGCCTCCTGAGAAGGAGGCAGATGTTTGTACCCCAGCCCTGGAATGGCAGTGTCCCCACTTTGGTTTTGGGGTTTCAAAAGAGAACAGGGAGAGAAAAGAGAAAAAGAAGAAGGAGGAGGAGGAGGGAGAAGGAGGAGAAGAGGGGGAGGGGAAGGGGGGAGGGGAAGGGGGGAGGAGACAGAAAGCAATTGAGAGAGATGGGAGATAGAGTTGGAAATTCTATGCAACCAGCCCTATTTATCGTTGAGTTCTACATCCTCAGATTCAACTAATATTAGATAGAAAAGGTTGGAGGAAAAACTGAAAATGTACTGAACATGTAGACTTTTTTCTTGTCATTATGTCCTAAAAAATCTGTCCACATATTATTATTATTATGCTGAACTACATAAATAGAACTATTACATTTAATACCTAATATAATGTAGAAGCTACATAAATAGAACTACAGTTTCTATAGTAATCTAGAGAAGATTTAAAGAATACAGAAGGATTGTGTAGGTTACTTGCAAATACTGTGGCATTTTTTTTATAGAAGGGATGAGAGCATCTGAGACCTTTTACACCTATGGGGGTCTTGGAATGAATTCCCCAGGGATATAAAAGGACAACTGTATATTCATGCAGAGAGAGAGGAGAGAGCCTGATTTGTACCCTGAGGGTGGGAAGGCTCCCACTCTGTACCTGGGGTGCTGAGCAGGGGGGGTGGGGGGTGATGGGGCAGATTTTTAAGGTCAGACTAAGCTAAAGAGATGGAAGTTGCAGGAACATCCCCTCCTTAGATGAGAGGAGCTGCCCACAGAATAACAGCAATGACACTGGCAAAGAAAATAATGACACTATTGAGCACCAGTTCTGAGCTAGGCATGGGACTAAGCCTTTTGTATTTATTGTTTTGTGTCCACACTCAACCTATCTTTATCCTCATCTTACAGGGGAGGACAAAGCCCAGAAATGTTAAGCAATGTTCTCAAGGTCACCCAGCTTGTGGGGGACAGAGCCTGGGTTGTCCCCAGGTCTGCCAGTCCACGGCCATGCTCCTGCCACCGAGAGGCTGCCCCACAGCTCTCCCTGGCCAGAGATGTGATGTGGGCTGTGTCACTGAAGTCATGGGACCAAAGGGTTCTGCTCAAGGACATTATGAATACTTATAGAAATTTCAACCACTCCATTGGTGGAGTAGTTGGGCTGAAAGGGAGCTGTGTGTGTGTGTGTGTGTGTGCGTGTGTGTGTGTGTAGCACAACACACAGGTGGCCTGAGGGAGGAAGAGAAGGCAAATTAGCCCCAGGCCTTGTCCTAAAGAACACTTGCTATTGTTGTATGTTTTATGCCCATTATCTCACTGGCCTCTTATCCTGCAAGGCGAACCATGCGATCTCTGTTATCCTCTATACAGATGAGAGGCTGAGATTCCGGAAAAGTTATAGACCCAAAGTTACACCACTAGTAAGCCACAGACCTGGCATTAGAACTTGCAGGTGCAGGCATGCGTAGGCATGCACACACACACACACACACACACACACCCATTGTTATAGCTCTCTGGGGTCCATGGTGCTGAGCACCATGGACGTTGGCAGAGCATCTCCCAGGATAAGTGGCAGGTAAACCGTACCTTGAAAGGGCACTTGTGGGAGATAACAGGCTCTTGAAAGCTGGGCACCTGGCTGGGGGTTGGGGGTGGGGAGCTAGGCGAACCAACTGGTCTGGAAGATGCTGAGGTTTGGGTGGGTGGAGTGGAGAGGGGAGTCATTTCAGGCAAGAAGCAGGACAGAGGCCCAGGAGCTGGGAGTCCAAGCATGGTCAAGGGGCAGGGAGGCAATTCAGCTGATGAGAACTTGGGACAGTTGGAAGGTAAACTAGGGTCAGATCAGACTTGGCCCCAGAATGGCCCAGGCCAAGGAGCCCTTGAGGGAATGTTTGTGGGTGGAGCAGGATGGGTGGAGAGGGAATGGACTTACCTGGGGCGCCTTGTTCACCTTTAATCCCGAGTAGTTCTGCAAAAGAAGGAGAGAAGGCTGCAGACCCAACTCAGGGCCCCCTTTGCTTTATCCCCACATCCCCCAGAGATCTCCTGTGTTCTATAATAGAAAGTGGGACCACCCATGTGGGGAGCAGAAACTTCAACCAGACTAGGGGCGTTTGAGTGAGAAGATCCAAACTCTGGATGTGTTCAGGAGAAAGTTCTTGGAAGGAGATGTCGAGTAGACACTCTGCTAGTAGTGTGTGTCTTACTTGTAGTCTCACAGGAAGCAGAACCCTGGGGGGCACAGGAGTGTGGAAAGGGGTACTCTGCTCCAAACCAGCTCACAGAGGTTCTTAGGGTCTAGGAAGGGTCGCCTCAGTCAAAACCAGCTCCTTCATGTTTTAAGAAAGAAACTCCCATGGTGTCTGAATGTCCAAACCTGGGCTCCATCCATCTGCCCACTAGCCCCTCCTTACATCCTGACTCAGCCTTCATTTTAATTTCCTGGGGAGGCCACAGCATTTATTATGGTGTAGATGTGAGGTGTCCCCCAAAAGCTCATGTGTGAGATAATGCAAGAAGGTTTAGAGGAGAAATGATTGGAAATCCCCTCTCCACTCATAAGAGAGTCTGAACCCAATCAGTGAAATAATCCCCTGATGGGAATTACTGGGTGATAACTGTCAGTGGGTAGGGTGTGGCTGGAGGAGGTGGGAATTGGGGCGTGGCTTTGGCTTTGGGGTATATATATTTGCATCTGGCCAGTGGAGTCTCTCCCTGCTTTCCGATCACTGAGTAAACTGCTTCCCTTGGCCACCTTCTTCCACCATGATGTTCAGCCTTGCCTTGAGCCTGAAGGAATGGAGGCTGCCATCAATGGACTGAGACCTCCGAAACCCTGAGCCCTCAAGTAAACTCTTCCTTCTCTACAGTTTTTCCGATCAGGTCTTTTGGTCACAGCAGTGAAAAAGCTGACTAAAATAGCATCTTACCCTCCTGGACCTTGTGTCCAGGGCACAGTCATGGGGTCACCCTCCTAAGCTCCTGCTTGCTCTTGACACGGGTCCAGAGCTTTGTGTCACAGTGTAACTCTGTGACAGGTCACACCTAGGCACTTGTTTTGCCCAAACCAGCCAAGGGCAAAGTTCTTCCTGTGGTGGGTCAACCTGAGAGAATAGAGGAGGCCACGCCCCAGATCCGGGAGGACTGAGGGAAGGAGAATCCCTGTCATGTTCACCTTTGGATCCACTTTCTTCTATCGTCTAACCCCCCCCTATTTTCCCCAGTAGGTGCCCCTGCCCTCTCCCTTCCCAGGTCCCCACTCTGTCTGGACCAACTTGGAGTCTTCATCCATCTCTCTCCAACTGCAGGTCAAGGTAGGCGGCTGCATGGGAGTGTGCCTGGGAATCGTCCCAGACTGCATCTCACCTATTCTCCTAAATGTTCTGGATCAGTCTGGTAACTCAGAATTGGCCTTGGGATGGTGGCTGCAGTCTGTGGCTCTTGGAGTCTGCCCTTCACCTGGGTTATGCCCTTAGTCCCCTGGTTCCTGACCCCTCTGTCTCCAGAGGCCTATATGCAGCCTCCCAGAAGCCTGTATTTTCATGCTGATCTCACATGGCTCTCACCCCCTGCCTCCTCGTCCCCAGAGTCCCAGGTCCTGGAAGCCCGTCTTGCCAGCCTCACTGCATGAAGAAACAGCTCCTCCTTCCCCATCCTTCTCTGAGGAGTCCCAACCAGAGGAGGGAAGGCCAAACCTGGGTTCTGGGTGAAGCTGTCTATCCGCTGAAGAAGCCGCTCCTGGCTGCCGCGAACCTGGACCATCTGGGCCTGCAGGTCTTGCAGCTCGGATACACTCGGAGCCAGGAATATTTGGCGGTGCGCTGAAGGTAGCCAGGAGGTTTGTCTGTCCTCCGCCGTCAGCGTTGTATTGGGAAAGTACGACTCCAGGGCCCACAGGCGCTCCTGCAGATTCAGAACTGGACCCCCACCCCACATCATCCCTTTAGAGACCTCATTAAACCCAATCATTGGAACACAGCCCTGACATTCTTGTGTCATGTGTGTTCTGAAGAAATTCCATGTGCTGTCGAGACCTGGTGTAAGCACAGAGCTTTTTTTTTTTTTTTTGTGTGTGTGTGTACAAGAACACATCTAGAAGTGTCCTCGTACAGTCAGGCATGGCCTTACATACCCAGAACATTCCTGCATGGACTAAGAGTGTGCCCACAGTGTCTACTGTCAATCCCCAACTTTCACTCAGACCCCCTTGAACACTCTGGGTGTCAGTGCATGACAACTAAGTTGGTTGGACCTGAAGACGTACAAGTAGCATTCAAGTGTAACCTTCATGTGTTTGTGACGAGTGTTTATGACAACTGTGCACGTGATATTCTTGAGTGGCTTCAGTGTCTGTGGATGGAATTGCTTTGTGACTTTAACATTCGAAATTGACACTCTGAATGTAAAATCATGTTTAATGGGCACTTAGATCAGCTGGATTTCCAGAGGCTGGGAATCCTCCATGTCAGATGCATGTGGTAAACCCCCAGTGAAGTCAGAACATCTTTCACTGCTCACATACACACAAGTCCCCAACTGCATTCTCACTACCCACCCCCACTACTTTTTCCTCTCCAACAATGTAGTGGCTCAGGGGCTGGGCTCTCTACCCAATGGGCCAGCCAATAGGCAGCAATTGTCCTAGGACTCTTCTCTCAGCCTGAGCCCAGAATCGGAGTAGCCAGTTCACCATCCCAGGAGGGACCCCACAGGACCAAGATGACTTTACCTTGGACCACCAGCAACGCAGCACCTGCCGTGAGCACAATCAAGTAAACGGCCACTATGGCCATGAAGCAGTTCATCCCATTTCTCTTCTTGGGCTTTGAATCTGAAACATAAGCCAGGCAGTTACAGCTGCTGCAGAGAGCAGAGAGCAGAGGACCCAGCCTGTACCAGCCACATTCATGTGAGCAGAGGTCTCCCTAGAAAGTCATGTGGCAAAGATGTGACATCTTCCCCAGGATCCTTATTTTTGCCACAAGGCAAGGGCCACTGTTGGTCACTCACTGGTGTGGCTGAGCATTCAAACTTCCACGCCATGTGTCACCAGCTGGAAGGGATGTTACGCCATCTTGTTCACTGTTAAAGCCCCAGAACCATGTCTAACTCAAATTATGTTCTCAGTGGTGTTTGTGGAATAAATTAATGAATCCATGTGTTTAAATGAAGTGGAAGCAATCTTCCTCCTCCCAGACTTTGGGAATCAAAACACTTCCTCTAAATACAGGACTTTTCCTCCTTCCTGCCACATGACCAGCTTCTGCTCATTCTCTGGGAGCAGAGTGGAGCCTTTTCTGCTTCTAGAGTCTTTCTCTGGTCTCCTGGGCTGGGTGGAACCCTTTCTGCTTCCCCACATCCCTCTTTCTTCCTCTGATATGACACCAATCACCCTGAATTGGGTCATTGTATCTATCCTGAATTGTATATATGTTGGTCTTCCCAAATGGCTGGGAAGCTTCTTTTTCTGTATTCCAGAATCCACATGGTGTCTGGCACACAGGAAGTGCTGGAAGATGAGGACAGAGTGAATAAATGAATGAGTGAGTAAATGAATAGCTGGAGAGCACTGGGTGCTGAACATGTGCCGAGTTGGACACAGCCAGAGTGGAACGTTGGAAAAACATCTGGAATGCAACTCAGAGACTTGGGGAGCCACGTGTCATCATGGTGAGGCAGGTGATGTGAAAGTGACATCTCACATTTGACACAAGATCCTGTCTCATAGATAGTATCTTGAGAGCCCTAAACCCAATGAAATGAAGCATGTGGTAAGAATGGACACAGGTATTACAGAGGCTGGGGTGTGGGTGAGAGCAATCATGGAAATCTATTCTAAAACAAGATGGTGGGAGCATAGGGGAAGGCATTTGAATGAAGATAAAGTGAGAGAAAAGAGGAAAGGTAGTATTGTTGGAGTAGTGCATGGCTTTCCACACAGGGTTAGAATGGTTTTACAATTCAGAGCTACCACCTGGCCTCCGAGGAGGCATTTTAGGAACTGGGGACTTGGGATCTGTGGTCATATCCAACTCACTGTGTACAAAGTGGAGGATCTGGTGAAGTCTCCAGCCTCTACACTGATCACTTCATCTCTTTGAGGGTGGAAGAAACCACAAAGGAAGTATCTATGCTGGTTTGGCCAATGAGGAATGGCTGAATGAGATGAGAGAATGAGAATAGCCTGTGGTAAATCAGAATGGGCTTCCCTGGAGTAATCCAGGGGGTCTGGCAGGGATTTTAGGGAAGCAATTTTCAGAAATCTAACAGCTCTATTGTCCGACTCACAATGAAGATATGACTCCAGAGGAAAACAAAAGTATTTCAATCCCATAAAAGATACCGATGCATTAAAAAATGGCTGCCCACTAACTCTAGTCTTCCCAGGCCTGCCATCTCCTCACAGCAGAAGGACCTTGGTAGGTTCTTCTGCCCTAACACACACACACTAGTGGATGTCAAGCTGTCCACCAGTCCACTTGACACTGGGCTGCCTGCTGAGCAGACCCAGAGAAGTGGTGCCTGTCCTAAAGGTGATCTATTCTCCAGCTAATACTACCAGGCATTGTGCAGAACTGCCTTCTGCCTTCAGAAGCAACACCAGCAACGGGTGGGGAAAAAAATGTCAGGGCACCCAGCAAACAGCAGACGTGAATAGCAAGACAGGGCACTGAAACCTAGACTGTCATTGGACCCTCTGCCCATGATAGCAGACCAGAACCTACATAATAAACCTAAACTAAAGATTTAAGTAAGAGCCAAAGTCTCCAACATACTATGCAAAATGCATAGCATACAGTGAAATTTACCCATCATACCAGTAACAGAAGAAATTACAACTCAAATAAGAAAAGGGAATCAACAGCTTTCAGGAATTATTCAACAAGAATTTTAAAGTAGGGCTAGGGATGTGGCTCTAGCGGTAACGCGCTCGCCTGGCATGTGCGGGGCGCTGGGTTCGATCCTCAGCACCACATAAAAATAAAATAAAGATGTTGTGTCCACCAAAAACTAAAAAGTAAATATTAAAAAATTCTCTCTCTCTCCCTCTAAAAAAAAAGAATTTTAAAGTAGCCATCACTTAATGCTTTAATGAGCAATCATGAATATTCTCAAAACAAAGAAGTACAAGATATATAGAAAAGAAACAAATTGAAAAAAATAAAATTAAAATTTTTTAACTCACTAAATGAGTTGAATAGCATCATAAATGTGATAGAAGGAACATTAAATGAACTCAATGAAAGAAGAATAGAAATTACCCAATGTGAAGAAAAAAACAGAGGAAATCAACTGAAAATTCATAAACAGAGCCTCAGAGGCCTTGGGTCAATAACAAAATGCCCAGCACGCACATCACTAAAGTCCAGAAAGAGTGTAGGGATGAAAAGTATTCAAAGAAATAATGGCTTAAAAATTTCCCAAATTCCCTTCTAAATCTACAGATTAAAGAAACTGAGCTGAAGTGGGAAAAAATATAATATGAAAAAATACAGAGCAATTTGAAAATCTTGAAAGCAGTCAGAGAGAAATGACACATTTCCTATAAATCAATACTGATATGAATGACAGCAGATTTTTCATCTGAAACTATGGAGACTAGACATAAGTGGCACAAAATATTTTGTGTTCTAAGAAAGCAATTGCCAACCATGAATTCCATTGTCAACGAAAATACCCTTCAGGAATGAATGGGAAATAAAGACATTATCATACAGTGAAAAATAAAGAAATTTTATTGCTTACAGATATTACTTTAAAGAAGAATGAAAAAAGTTTTCTAAACAGGAAATGATAACTGAAGAATGCCTAGTATTTCAAAAAAAGAAATAAAATAATAGAATAGTAAAAAGGGATCTATGTTAAGCCATCTTTCTCTTCATGAATTTCTAAAATCACATTGAATGGTGGAAAAAATTACAATATTATCTGATATGGTGTTCAATGTATGCAGAGGAAATAAGATGATCATATTTTAAAAGTGGAAAAAGTTAAAGCACACAAATGAAAATAAGATTTCTACATTTGAAGTGGTAAAATGTTGATAACAATAGACTGTGACACATACTGCATGTCTATTGCAATACCCAGAGAAACTCTTCAGAAAACTATTCAAAGTAATATACTCAAAAATACTACAAATAGGGACTGGGGATATGGCTCAGTTGGTAGAGTGCTTGCCTCGCATGCACAAGGCCCTGGGTTCAATCTCCAGCACCACACACACACACACACACACTAAAATTTACAAAAATAAAACTATGAATAAATCAACGTGAAATTAAAAATTGTTCAGATGATCCATTGGAAGCTTAAATAAAGAAAAAAATAAATGAATGAGAAATGGAGGGAAAAAACAGAAATTACAAAATAAGATGACAGATTTAAAACCTATCATATCAGGAATTATATGTAAATGGCCTAAATATTCCAATCAGAAGACAGAGACCAGCAGACTAGATTATAAAACAAGACACACATATATGTTTTCTCTAAGAAACTTAACAGCAGGACTTCAAAATCCACAACTGCAATTGAAGACTTTTAATATCCTGCTGTCATTATTTGATAGAAAGTTGGCAAAGACACAGAAGAACTGCAGACATTAACCCACAGGCCCTAATGAATGCTAAGAGAACACTTCAGGGAGTAACAGCAGAACACATATTCTTTTCAAGCACACCCATAACATTCACCAAGATAGATGTGAATATTGACAAGATGAGGGGGGAGACCAAGGCCCTACAGAGTATATACTCTTTTACAATAAAATAATAAAAGGCTACTCTATAACTGATATACAAGAGGAAAACCTCCACATATTTGGAAATTTTCAAAAAGTACTTTTAAATAAAATGTGAGTCCTAGAGAAAGTCTCAAAGAAAATTTTAATGAAAACTACAATAGATCAAAGTTTATGTGGCTAAAGTTGCACTGAAAAGGAAATGAGTAGCATGAATCGCTTACATTAAAAGTGAAAAAGGTCTCACATCAACAGATTAAGTTTTTACCTTAAAAAACTAGGAAAGAAGAACAAAGTAAACCCTTATAATCCAAGGGAAAATCTTAAAGATAAAACAGATATCAGTTAATTTTAAATAGAAAGACAAAAAGAAAAGCAATGAAACAAAAACGAGTTTCTTTGAACAAAATCACTAAAATTGACAAACCTTGTGCGAGATTCACAAAGATAGCAAAGAAAAAAGACACAAATCTTTAATACAAAAAATTAGATGGAATTTTACTACAGACCATGTTGCCATTAATAAAAAGTAGGAGCATACTAATACTAACTTTGTGCTTAAGTTAAAGGAAATTGTCCAATTCTTCAAAAGTCAAAAACTACCAAACTATAACCAAGATAAAAATAGATAATTCAAATATCTATAACCACTAAATAAATTTAATTTTTAATTCATAAGCTCCTCAAAAAGAAATATTTAGATCCAGATGGTTTTTCTTGAGTGTCCTAATAACCATTTAAAAAAAGAATTAGGATCTATTCTATACATATAGTATAGAAAATGAAAGAGGAAGGAATACTTCCCAAATCATTTTGTGAAGTCAGAATTATTCTGATATGAAAATCAAACAAGGCAGTACACAAAAAAAAGTCCTCAGAAAGCTAAATACCAATATGACTCATGGACTTTGACATAAAAAATACTAGCAAAATATTAATAAATCATAGTAAGCAATGTTTAAAAGGAATTATATGTCATTACCAAGTGGGATCTCTCCAGATATGCAAGGATAGTTCAATATTTGAGAATCAGTCAAAACAATATGCCAGATCAACAAGTTAAGATGAAAAACCATAAAGAAAAAGCA